TCTATTCAGTATGGCCTGTCCTTTCTCATCCAACTAGTCCTAAGTCAAAAGGGTAATCATTATTTAAAATGAGTTAAACTACATTGATATAGGAGAGATACATCTTAAACCTCTCTCTTTGGTCAAGTTTTTGTGTTTTTTTAAAGAACTTCTGCCTTTTGAAACTTTTTGAGTGATTTTTTTTTTTTAATGGAAAAGTTACTGATGGATCTCAAATTCCTTAACCATGTTTCATCTTTAGGTAAAACACCTGGTTATACCCTCTATTTATTCTAAGTATCTTAAATGGTTCGAATTGGTTTGTGTTTTGACTAGTTTTCACTAGTTCCCTTATTAGATATAAAATTAATAGGATCACAAAGTTCTAGAGTAAAGTACCATAATTAAAAAGGCACCAGCTGGATAAGTTAGGCTATAATTCTGACTATGTTTACTACAGCTTCCTTCTTGTCTTGAAAATTGCTACGCCCAATAAAAAATTAGTCTGAAAAACCTCACTTCTTTTTTCTTCTCTTCCTCTAAGGGACGTCCAAACACCCAAAGTTTTTACAAAAATATCATGCTGCAAGACCTCTGGAAAGAATATCACAGGTCACAAAGTCCTAGATTATTTCCTAATATTCTTGACAAAGAAAAAAAACCCCAAAACATTAGGATGTCTTGAGTTTCACAATATGCAAAGAACAGTTTTCAAATGTTTTGAGGTCAAAGAACCTTGCTCAAGCTGTAATACTATATTACAAATATGTAAAGTTAACATATTAAAAAAAAAACAAAATTAATTTATGACAGCCAAACCTGCATTCTAAAAAGCAACAAGACAAAGAAATTATTTAAGGAGTAAAGTTAAGAGGATAAGAATTATGCTTCTGAGGTGAGGAGAGAGCTAGATCCAACTTTGGACACTTGATGTGTGGCCGTGGGCACGTCATTTGTCCTTTCTGGGTCTCAGTTTCCTTATCTGTAATTGGAGAATAACAATCCCTATAGTACACACCTCAAAGGGTTATTGTGGAGATTATGGGAGAAAAGTAAGCAAAATGCAAATCTTAAAGTGCTATATAATTATCCATTATTACAAAAATAAAATTTTCTTTTGATTTTGCTCCTAATCTTGTTCACAGTGAAAAAAAAAAAAGATTAAAATAAAATTTACACCTGTAGTGGCAAAATTCCTATTGTTTGTTTTCTGACATAGTCCCCAGGAATAAATGGTATAGTCCCTAGGAATAACCTGAAGGTGAACATGTAATTTGTAGACAGAAGAGAAAGGAACTACATTTTAGGGGGGAAGTACTCAGAAACTTGAAATATATAGGGGGAAAGAAAACCCCCTACACACAAAGAATAATTTTCCCAAAAAGACCTAACTACATTTTCAAAATACCTCTATTAAACAAAAAAGGTTTCCCTAGAACTTAGTCTGAAAAATTCCAGAACAGAAAAAATTCAAAGTCCATCTCTTAGCCACCAAACAAAAGACCAATGTAATCTAAGTCTATACACCTGTTCTGATGCTGTAATAACTTTTTCATTATAGAAAACGTCAAAAATAGTCACTACTTTCTTCCAAGACAGAAAAAAACAATTTCAATTTTAAGAATAAGGGCAAATTTTCACCGCAAATTTAATTGAGAAGGGTCTGCAAAAAGTAAGAAGGTAAGGCAGCCATATAGTTCAGGTACAATTAAGCAGCCTAAAGCTTCAGGGTGCCAAGTGTCTCTATAATTGGCAAGATTTTAAAAGATGGAAGATTCCATCGCCATATTAGATTCACTTCAAAGCTAGTCTGTGCTAGATGTATAAAGAAATACAATGAAAAGTCCTCAGGTATAGACGCTTGCACGCTGTAACTCAAAGAAAAAGGGGGGGGGTAAGAGAAAGGAAATATTAGCATTCAGGAAAGCAACTGCCTTCTTTCCCTCCCTCAGTCCCCATGGTTTTGCACATATGCCTGTTTAGAAAGTTAGATCATCAGGCATTCTCATAGATTAGATTATTTTGTAAATTCAATGGTAATCAGGGTTAGGTTAGCTGGCAACTGATTAAATAAACTGAATTTTCTATACCTAATGAGCTCCAACTTGGGCAGCTTAAACCTTAGCACTACAGCACAGCTCCCAAAAGGTTTCTCTTTCTCCGGCTTTATGATGCCGGCCAGTTTAAAGACCCAAAGTGCACATACAGAACTGCAATATTATGGCAGTATTTCAACAAGATGCAAAATACAAAGTCTGGCACACCCTTGCATGCAAACACATTACAGAGATTTTGTAGTTCCCACAGTCCCTGGGACTCTCTTTTTCCTTCTTCCACCATAAAATAAGGACAAGATTTACTTAAAAACCAGAATTATCTCCTTTACCCCACCCCCTTATCCAGGGAAAAATAAATCACAATCCAGCAAGTAACAAAAAATGAGAATATGCAGTATTACTACATTATTGAAAAAGGATGCAATTCAGCAGGTCACCGTATTGGAGAAACTGAGCCTTCCTAGGATGGTTTATGACGGCAGTTCTTGTTTGAATGCTTAATTTCGTAACCTTGTGAGGCTGTTGGTGCAAGACTGATCATCTCCATTTTACGGAGGAGGAAACTGAGGCTCTAAGCAAGTTATGTGACTAGCTAGCCTCCAGTGTCAGTGATCCATCTTTTTCTATAATCAGATGCTACCTCTCGAGAAATCATCTCCTGTGGGAAATTCGAAACATTCTTCCTTTGGAGTTAACCTCTGCTCTCACTTTTTTCCAGGACCAAAAGAAAAGCTGTTTCCTCAACTATGTCAACTTCCTCCTTGACCATGTCAACACCTCCGGTCACTCACGTACACCTCTAGGAATAATCGGATTCGTTTTCACCAAAAGGCCCTCCCTGGTAAACTCTCTTTTTCCCATGAAAAATGACACCACCACTCGATCTCCTCCTCCTCCTCTCTCCCCATTTGTCACGGGGGACTCCCAAGTTTCCCCAAAGCTTCACCTGCCTGCCAAACCTTCACCTAGCGAAGCCCCAACTTATGGTCCCCCCCCCTTTTCTGCGCCTCCAGGAGCCGAAATGCAAGTCCAGGGAGTTGGCCCCGCAGGGCTGGAGAGGTTTGGGGGCGGCAGCCCGCTCTGGGCAGCTCGCGAGGAGGCTGGAAGTGCCTACTAAGTAGGGGACGCGGCTCCAGGGAGGGCACCGGGGACGAACTGCCCAAGAACAGCGTTCCCTTCCCCCGCCTTTCTCCTTCTCCGCCCTCACCCACCAGCCACGGTCTCTTGCAGCCACGCGAAACCCAGGAGGTCCCGGCAGCCGGGACTCCCCACTCCTTTACTCCCCCTGGATTTAGCAGTCACTACCCCGCAGGGCAGCGAGAGATTCCAGGGCGCTCCGCTCTAGGCAGCGGCAGAAAAAAATCGGGAACACGATTTCTTTCCCCACTCCTTTCGACATGCTGCATAAAGCACCCACCTCTGCTCCCCGCATCTCCCGAGCGCGGGGCTGGGGTGCCCCAACAGCCAAGTACCAGTAGTCAGCCTCAGGGCTGGATGGGCGTGTTCCCCTCCTCCAGGAGCCGGTACCTTCGGATTTCAGTGGGGAGGGGGAGAGGGAAGGTCGCAGCGGGGCGGGGCGGGTATCCAGCAACTGGACCCGGCTGCTTCCCTCCTACCCTCCCCCTTCTCTCCGGTGGGACCCTGGTCCAGTCCGGAACACCTGGGGTCCCTTGCCTGGGGAGACGTATCCGGTTCATGCATGCTTTTGCAATGTGCTGCAGCCCGCGTCGCCCCCAGTCGCTAGCCCTTGCAGGGACACCCGTACCGATCCCCGCGCCCTATCCTCTCCCACCTCCACACACAAAGTTTCCCAGCCAATACAGCTCGCTCCCTCCCCCGCGTGTAACGAAAGCGGTGCTGAAGACTCTCAGGGTTGCTAACCAGTTCCAGAAACTGTTCTCCATACACATCCACACACACACACACACACACGCGCGCCCGTTCCCCCCCACCCCCCCACCAAGACCCACTGAAAATATGGCGCCCTCAAACGTCTTCACACAGTCTTATCAAGGATCCCAAAATGCGTGCCTTCAATCCCCCTAGTTCCCACAAAACGCGGGGCGCGAAATTTCAGCTCAGACAGAGAAGAAATGGGACGAGAGAAGACAGGAGGGAGTGGGTTCTCCCTGATAGAGCCTCTCAGCGTAAACCAAGGGCAAAATGAGCAAATGGCACTTAATCCATGTCCTTTCCCTGGATCTCAACGCCTTGGCTTTACCCAGTTCCTTTAGCAGCCAGAAATTTGTTAGTGACGAAATTACAAAGTAAAAGGGCGAATGAGAGAGAGGCGATTAACCTGCCCAGAAGCTTTCAAGCCCTGAATCCAACGAAAGGTCGGTGAGATTAAGACGGATATATTCCGTATCTGATGCGGCTGCTTGCTACTTGTTTGCAAAGTAGCGCTGGAGTGGGGATGGGTTGTGCTGGAATGAAGCTAATCAACCAGCCAGTCTAACTCTCCCTGGCTTCAGGCGGCGGCAGCATGAGTCGCTGGAAACCGGGAACCCGAGGGGGTCATTCTCGCCTCTGGGACTGATTTTAAAACCCAATCACCGGAAACCAACCCAGAAGCCGAGGAAGAGACCCTCCTCTACAAGCAGCTAGGAGCCCACTCCTAAGTCCCAGCTCTAAAGAGATATGCAACTGCAAACCGTGGACTCTAGATTGAGTGCAATGAAACATGCATATGCAAAAGACAGGTGCATTATTTTCATTTTTTAAATCCTTTTTATTTCTGGGGGAAAAAAAAGCTGTCCCAGAATAGGGAGTCTAGATAGCTTTGCATTTTATTTCTGCACTGGCATCACTCACAAGATGGGGAGAGGGTGGGGAGAGACAGAAAAAAAAAAATCCAGATTTTTCTTCGTTGGAAAAGGAGGGGGGGAAAAAGACACGAGAAATTTCATGCAACGTGCATGCATCTGGAGGAAGAGGAAAACCCAAATGACCCGTGTGCCTTACCGGGGGATGCGCTTAGTGTTTCATTGCAGAGCGCCCGCCTGTGTGTGTGCAGTTGGCGTGCCCCCCGGTGCGCCTGCAGTCCGCTCTGCTCCTGCAGCCGCCGCCGCCGCCGCCGCCGGCTCCAAGCACCGAACAACAGCCGAGAGGGAGAGAGAGCGCGAGCGCGAGCGCGAGGACAGGAGAGGAGAGGAGAGGAGCGCGAGCCCGGAGCCCCCAGCACCGGGAGAGCAGGAAGCGCGTCATCACTCTGGGACGGCTCGGCCTTTTTTTTTTTTTTTTCTTCTCCATCCCAAACTGCGCCGTGTTCCCCCACCCCACGGCTCGGCTTGGGGCTCGCCTTGGTGCTGTCCCCAAGGCCCGGCCCGGAACCCTCCTAGCCGTAGCCCTCGCCCTCGCTGCGGCTGCAGCCGAGACAGGGACACGGCGAGGGGAGGCAGGAGAAGGAGCTGTCCTCGCCGCGGCCGCACTGACCTCCCCACCCGGCCGAGCGGACAGTGCCCACCCCCAGCCCCCGGCAAGCGGGGGGAGGGGCTGTGGCTCCCAGCAGCCCGGCATTATTTATTCTAATAAGATTAATTAAGGCAGTGAGGGAGGGGGGCGGAGCACAGTTGAGAGAGGACCTTTTCCCTACGGGAGAGGGACCGGTCAGTTCCTGCACGTGGATGGCCGGCGGGGATCCGAAATGCGTGAGCAGTTGCAGATGTTCGGCCTTCCCCAGAAGTGACCAGCCCTGGGGGCCAGCCGGAGGGCGTTTAGGCTTTTTTTTTTTTTAGCTCGATGGATAGAGTCCTTGACTTGGAGCCTTGGAAGACCAGGATTCAAGATAGTCCTCAGACACTTAGTAGTTGTGTGACCCTGGGCAAGTCACTGAAACCTCTGTCTGCCTTAGTTTTCTCATCTACAAAATGGGGGATAATAGCTCCTACCTCCAAAGGGTTGTTTTGAGAATCAGATGAGATTATATTTGTAAAGGGTTACTAAAGTATTAGTTATTATTGTCTTATCCATTGCACACAAAAACTGCTGGTTGGTCAAAAATCAGTCAGCCAATAAACATTTATTCAGGGCTGGATATGTGGCAGGTACTGTGTTAAGTACTGGGGATACAAAGAAAGGCAAAGGACACAGTCCTTACCCTCAAGGAACTCACAATCTGATGGTGGAGACAACATGCAAAAAACTGTACAAATAAGCTACACACAAGATAAAGAGGAAATAATCAACACGGAAGGCACTAGAATCAAAAGAGATTGAGAAAGCTTCCTGTAGAACACAGAATTTTAACTGGAACTGAAGGAAACTGAGAGGTGGAGATAAGGTAGGAAAGGATTCCAGGTATGGGGGCAGCCAGAGAAAATAATCCTATCCTCAGCTATGGAGTGTCTTGTTCAAAGAACAGCAAGGATGCCAGGGTCACTGGATCAGAGAAAACAGAGGAGCATGTAAGATGTAAGAGGACTTGAAAGGTAATTGGGGCTAAGTTATGAAAGGCTTTGAATGCCAAACAGAATGTTATATTTATTCTTGGAGGTGATAGGGAGCCACTGGGATATATGAAGGGAGGGGGAATGGAAAGGAGCAGTGTAGTCAAGGCCACCCTTTAAGAAGAAAAAAAAATTAAGCAGAGAGAGGTTAAATGATTTGCCCAGAGTCACACAGCTAGTGGAAGTTTGAGGCAGAATTTGAACTGGAGATTTTCTGACTCCAGGTTCAGTATTCCATTCACTGCATCACCTAGATGCCAGCAAGTAGAACTTTGTAGAGATGACTTGGAAAGGATAGTGGGGAGGAAGGGCTTTTTTTTTCCCCTTCTTCCTCTAAAAGTGTGAGAGAATTATATATTACAGATTTTAAAGTTATTCTCTTCAGCACATTTAATAATAGCTACTATTGTTGTTGTTGTTGTTGTTTTTGGCAAGGCAATTGGGGTTAAGTGACTTGCCCAGGGTCACACAGCTACTAAGTATCAAGTGTCTGGTCTGAGATGGAATTTGAACTCAGGTCCTCCTGACTCCAGGGTGGGTGCTCTCTTCACTGCACCACCTAACTGGCCCCAATAGCTACTATTGATGGAACACTAAGATGTGCAAAATACTTTACAGATGTTATCTCACTTGAGAAAGCCCTGGACTTTCCCTTGAAAAGCCAATTTCGGATTTGGCATTCTGGTTGCTCTCTTCCAAAAGGATACAAGGATAGACCTTTTTTAAGTGTGAAAAAGTAAACAAATGAAACAAAGTCCTCCCAAATGAAACAGAGTCCTATCAAGTTAAAGCTGTGTCTGGGGATATAGGGATGGTTGCAATCATCTGAAGAGTAAGTAGCCATTGTGAAATGACTTTCTCGAAAAATCCCAGATGGGCATTCTATAAGACTGGGTGAAATATTTTGTTTCCTAAAAGGGTATTAAGATTTCTTCTCACAGTCTGGTAAACCTGGTTTAAAAAGACCCAAAGCTCCTGTAACAGTCTTGGAGTGTACTTACTGCAGAGCACTAGCTTTAACAGAGAAAAGGCAAGGTGTGGGAACTGATTGCTTAAGCAGTTCCATAAGATGCCCTAAAAGAGTGGACTGTCAGCAAAAAGTTCTTGGTTGGTTCCTGTAAAACTCCTCCCTTCCCTGTCTCCCTTTTAACTTTTGCTGGGTTAACAGTATAAGTGATGGTGGCACCATGCCTAGAACATCAGGGTTTAGGGAAGCTATTTATTGACTTTAGTAAGAAAAGAGTAGGCTCATTAAACTGGTATCTTCTAGGTTGTCTATAGATGTCCTAATGGAGTGAAGCCAACCCTTGCTTGTAAACAGCAGAGGAGCATTTTTCACTTGCTGTATGTTCTTTACTGAGATAGAGAAATTCACGGCTTTGCTACTTCCTAATCTCTTCAGTTCTTTAGGTTTCCTAATGTAAAATGAGGAAGTTAAGTCGACTATATTACCTCTAGCTAATAACTGAGAGCAGAGAAGAGGAAGGAAGCAGTACCACAAAATACAGGATTGTGGATTTCAAGCTAGAATGGATCTTGGAGTCCAACTCCCTTATTTTATGAGGAAATATGAGGAAAATGAGGCAGACAAAGAGACTTGCTCAGGGTCTCATAGCTAATAAGTGTTGGGGCTAGAATTTGAACTCTGTTCTTGACTTCTAAGTCCAGAGCTGTCACCACTGCACCCCCTAGCTCCCTCACTGACACACACAGCTAATCTGGGGCAAGATTTGAACTTGTCTTCCTGACTTGAAGTCTAGGACTATACTCTGTCACCCAGCTGCCTCAAATGTCCTGAGCAGGAGGTAAGATATATAGTTGAGGGTGGGCATCAACCCAATTTCCCCCTCCTCTGCCATGGGACCGCTGTAGGAAAAAAGAGCAGGATAGGCTAAGGCCAGAGAGGAATCATGAGAGATGTCTGTAGTTTAGGAACATGGGGAAGCCCTTCCTCTGTTACCTTCCTATGTTAATACTTGTATTCTTGCTACCTAGGTGCTTATTTGAGTTGTTTTTATCTACTAGAATTTGCACTATAAATTTTGGCACTCTGGGCAAAGCCACAATTGCCTAGTCCTAGTTTTACCTCTAGTTCTAAGGTCCTGTTAAGCCCCAAATCTTGTGAGTCTGGGATTCAAGTGCACCTAAAATATTATTTTTCTTTTTACCATGTAGACTTTTGCTTAAAGTCTTTGAATAGTTGTTGGACAAATAAACACATCAACCACCATTTCTTAAGTAGGAAACACAGGAGGGCTTCTAGCACCTCTCTCACTAGCAGGTTTGATTTTGATCTGGTCAGACAGGAAGACAGGAATTGAGTCCTAATAAGGGGTTAAATAAGCATACTTTATTCTAGTCTAGTCTTCTCAAAGGGAGTTTGCTGATAATGGGAGCACCAACTCCTACAGCATTCCCTAACAGCCCTTCTCTCAGGGGCCGGCATGAAGGAGGGGCAATAACCCCTCCATCTCGATGGGGTCAGTCGAGACAGGCACAACTTGTGTACTAAGCTAAATCCCCTCAAGCCTCATTGAGGGCCGATTGAGGCAAGCTCACAGATTTCCCCCTCCCAAGCCTTGATGGGGGCCGATCAAGGCATGCACAGCATTCCAGCCTGCACATTCACCCCTAAGGGGGTCCCCAGTCACTGACCAGTGCCCACTTGCTTTGTAGGGCAACAGACAAAGAAGGTATATTGCCAGCAATAGCCTCACAGTTTTATATTACTTCATCCCTATATCTACTGTGACTATGCAATAGGAACTATTTTCCACCTGTGATCATGAGAACTCATATCTAACACCTGGGAAGTAGATATTGTTATGACTATGGATCCTGGGAAGAAAACTCTAAGAAAGAATAACAAAAAATCTACTTAAACACACTAAAATTCACCTTCCTTTCAATAGTTTACTCATCAAATACCTTTTTATCTCTATCCCAAGTTTCAAGGTCCAAGTTCCATCCATTACCTGCAAAACAGCACTAACTGTCTCATCCTGCTTTTCTAATACCACCAGCTGCACTTGAAATTCTAACATTCATTGACCAGGGTATATTTTTCATGTGTACTATGTGCAAGGCATTATGCCATATATTATGCTAGATTGCTGGGCTAAGAAATATTTGTCAAGAGATAAAATTTGTCAATTAACAAATATAGTTGTTTTCCTTCTCCATTAGGTTTTAAGTTCATACAAGGCTGATGTTATAGTCCACAATCATAAAAGCTTTGTATATTTTGAAAAATATTCATTGCAGTCAAATAACATCATCTTATAGAATTGACATTTATCATTCATATCTTAGTTCATGAAAATGCTTTTAGGAAAAGGTAGAGTAATAGGAAACCATTCTCCCTTCTGAAATCAGTTTAATTTAGCTAAGCAAGAAGCTCAAAATAGCTGTATACCAGCTGGCTGCTGAAATTGTCCATCCTGGCTAAAAGCTGAGTTTATGTGTGGAAACTCTCTGACACCGAGAGATGGTCAGTCAGGAGGGTGGAAACTGGACAGAGCGATGGAGATGTGGTTTGAAAATAGCAGCCAAATCCTCAGCAACCAGAAACAAA